GGACCAGGCGCTGGGCCTTGGGGGGAGGCGGTGGGGGCGATTTCAGCGCCTTACTGCCATCCACCGTCAGCTGCTAAAACGAAGAGAAAGGAGCATCAGTGAGGGTGCTGGGCCCGCGCCCCCGTGGTGCTGGGCGATCCTGCGCAGCCCCCTCTGTACCTTCCCGCTGCTGGGCACAGGGCTCTGCTCCAGGAAGGTCTCATACACGCTGGAGCTGATCTTCCGGGGCAGTGGGGCGGCCTTGCTGGCACTCTTCACCCGGCCTGTGAATCCCCGGGGCGGGCCTGCTGCACCTGCGCACACACAGCACAGAGCTGAATCCCGTGGTGCTGGGCGATCCTGCGCAGCCCCCTCTGTACCTTCCCGCTGCTGGGCACAGGGCTCTGCTCCAGGAAGGTCTCATACACGCTGGAGCTGATCTTCCGGGGCAGTGGGGCGGCCTTGCTGGCACTCTTCACCCGGCCTGTGAATCCCCGGGGCGGGCCTGCTGCACCTGCGCACACACAGCACAGAGCTGAATCCTGCCAGGTCCTGCACAGCTGGCGCAGGAGCGGGGTGGGGCTGCTACGGTGGGAGCAGAGCCAGCCATGGACCGCCCGGGGGTTAGACAGTCAGCTGGTGATCACATGGAGCCGGTTGGGGGGGGCCCAGCACGGGGCACTGGGGCAACACCTGTGTGCAGCCTAAACAATACACAGCCCCCCCCTCCCCCACCCCCGGCTCAAGGGGGGGCAGGCGAGGCCCCCACGCAGCCAGGGCACCTCAAAGCCCCTGAACACTGTGTGCTGAGTGACTGGGCATGTCCCTGTGGCCCCCAGCTGTGACCAGGAACTGGGAGCCTGCATGAGGCTCAGCCAAACCGGAGCCCTGTTCCAGAGCCAGGCCGGGCACCACGGGGCCAGCCCACCACAGGGCGGCCTGGCACAACTCCAGACAGGCGCTCCCCACGCAGCCAGGGCACCTCAAAGCCCCTGAACACTGTGTGCTGAGTGACTGGGCATGTCCCTGTGGCCCCC